TAAATATATAGCATAAACAAAATTTGGAAGAGTTTTCTAACAGACAAAACACACAGATATTTCATCTGACGTGATTTACGTTTGATTTTTGGCCGTATTTATCACGTTTTCTCGAATTGTCAGAGGTTTGATCAAATCAGGATTCCGATACGTCTAGCAGTTGTTACCAAAGGCATCTCGTTTCGATTCTAGAATCAAGGGGTCGGTCAATAGTAGTAATGGTTAGTCCCAATACTAACAAAATAACAGTAATGCACGTACGATGTACGTGCTCTGCCTTACTGTGTCACCCGGCAAACGACGAATAATAGTAATTGAGCAACTGTATTTCACGGGCATCAAGTCGTAGGGAATTTAGATGCGCGATATAAATTAAAGACAAAAATATGATAAGAAGAAAGGATCGCGACACAACGTTTCTCACTGTTTAGCATCTTGATTACAAAATTAGAACATATATGCGAGCGAGTGTCGCGAGCGGGTTAATTTAATTAAAATAAAAGAAATTTTAATATTCGTACGTTTTATATTGTTGTTAGAAAGTTCTGTAAACTGTAAGAATTCAGTAAATTATAAAACGAGAAAATGTGTGAGCAAACCAGCATATGGCGGCGCAACAAAGATCCTTCTCAAGATTCCGCGGAAGTTTCTTGAGCTGATAGCCTGCCAAGTGGCGACCACGGATTGCTAGACAATGCGCAAGTGCCTGCATATTTTGGAGATTCCAAGAATGTGATTCAAGATGTTACGATAATGTTTTGACGTTTAGGTTAAAGTTTTGTTAGGTTGTCTAATCAAGTGAGTTTTAATGGAATTATTGGCGCAATACGCGATGCTTTATTGCACAAAAATATACTGTTAGAAAACTACTTTGAAAAGAGCAAGCTAAAGAATTAAAATAACTATAAAACTTAAAAGCAATAAAAGAAAAGAACAATAAAAATAAATATCATTTTACATTAAAATACACATTGTTCTTAGAATTAACTGAATTAATTGCTACGCATCCTGTCGAACACGTATTGTATGCGTTGTGTAATGTAACGCACATAATTATTGAAAGGTCGTTGATTTATGAATAAATTCATGTGTTATTTATCCATATGCATTACTTGCAAGTTAAATCATTAATGCTTTTCAATTTATAAATTACCGCATTAATAATTAAACGAAAATATTAGTATTCAGTTCCGATTTGCAGTGAAATAATTTCGAATTGCAAAATATCCGTGCGAATTAAACATGTAATATGCATCACAAATAATTTATGGCTGTGAGAAGGATTTTGCGGATTAAATTGTCTAATTTTATGGTAACAGACAAGTGACAACTACAATTGCGAATTTCTTGTTGCAGCCAATGTGTTAGGATTGTCGTTTAATCGCCGACAATTAGAATCGTCGACAATGAATGTCAGAAGTGGTAGTAGTTGTCAGTAGTGTGAAACTTCCTTAATCCCGACCACGCCAACATCGAGATAATTACGTGACATAATTTACATAGGATGCCTAATACGCTGTAATCACTTCTTCGAATTAAGGCAAACGAATCCCCTTGACATAGTTAAGCAGGTCTTATGTGTTACGTTGAGTTTAAAGGGAAGCAACGAAACGTCGATTTTAGAAACATTTTAATACATGTTTGAAAGCGTCATAAAAATATATATATATATAAATTATTGTATATTATTTAAATGGTATTTAAATTCTATTTTCCAATAATGGCAATTAGACGTAACTCTAAAAATTTAATTTTGTTTTAATATTGCAAAAATACGATTATTCAGAAACTGAATTCAAAATAAATTATTGAACGAAACGCAAATTATATAAAAACATGAATTTGTTGTACATAGAAAGAACATATTAGAGGATATGTCGGTTTTGTCAAATTCTCATTGACATTTTTAGACATTACATATTTGTAGTTTTACTATTTCTTGTTCAAATGTCGTTTCTTCTAGTTTTACAACTTTGTATGCGCGTTTAGGCGCGCATACTTTGTTTTGCCGTCTGTGAGTTTTGGTCGAGGACCACTGTAATCATCGTGGTCGCTATTTTCGTACATGTGAAGACTGTAACGAGCGAGGCTCGTCGACCCTGACTCAAATTCAAACAAGAGCCAGCTGCCGCTCATTGCCCAATCCGGCGCATCTCGAGGTCCCGAATTAAAAGCGAGATTTCTACGAATTAACAAATATCATCTATGAACATTAAAAAATTAATTGTTATGCAATATTATATCGGTTTTTACAGTACTGATTTAAGTTTGATTTTTTTTTAATAAGTTAAATAATCTCACTTTAAAATACCAATTATCCATCTGCTAGAAAAATTGAGATCTTTTAAATTCATGTAGAACAAATCATGCATAAATGCCTTTAACACATCTTTTATTGTTAGAGAAAAAATTAATTAATTAAAAAAATAATTGAAGATTGAAAATACCAAAGGGCATAAAGATCATTTAGTTTCTTGAATATTTTCACTTTTTAATTAACTGTCAGGATAAAGAAAAAAATGTTTTAAATAATTATTTTAATTTCAGCATATATTAAATTTTTAAATTAAAATATAATTGAGCGAGGAAATTATAATATTTGATAATAAAACACAAAGTGTATTTCAGTAAACTATACAATACAAATAATGGTTTATATATATATATATATATATATATATATATATATTTTTATCTCTTTCTGAAAATGAACAAATCGACATAATTGGTATAATTTAGAAAGAAAATACACGGCTTCTAAATCCCTTTAATGTTGCACATATGAGTAACTCGAAACGGAGAGACATTTTTCGTTGAATGGCTGCGAGCAGCTTCTCCGGTCGTTCGTAGATACATCGATTCGTTATCGAGATATTGCTTTCGTGCGACCACGGACAAGGAGCGGTTGGATTCGCGAAGATTTATGATTTCACCGAACATTCGCCAATTTTTTTTCTTTCCTCGCCTTTCCATCTGCAATCGTCTCGCGTCGCCAGGTTCAAGTATGCATGAGCATAAAATGAAAAATCGTTTGTTGCTGTATTATTTTGTTTATTGCAAAAAATAACGTATCGTATAATGGAAGAATGTGAAACGAGTGATTTTAAGTTTATCGTGTAATTGAAATTTACTTTGGTGGTTATTTTTTTGAACGTAAAAAAGTAAAAGTCAAATTGTTTTTTAATATATTTAGTGTTTTATATACATAGTTTGTTAATTAAAATTTGACATTATTTATTGTAAATTTTTTTTAAAGCGCAAAATGATTCAAAGCCCTTTAATTAAATTTTAGAAATTTATATCTGCTATGGAAAACGGTTCTCCGATTAGAAAAAACGATCATTGATTATTGAAATAAAAGAGTCTATTTTATATGTCTTTCGTATTGCGGCCTTAACTCTTTTACAGATTAGTCCAGGAAAATTTACTATCCTTTCGCAGTAGTATTCTTAGTCAACGAACCGAACCACCGGGGTATATCAATCACTCCAACCTTCTCCTACCTCTCCAGAAAGTTCAGTCATGTTCGAACCACCAAGTTTCATTGAACTTTATACATATGAAACAAGGTAGAACATACTACACTTCCGCGGAAATTCGCGGTATAGAATATATGTGAAGATAGTTTCGATAGTCATGTTCGCCATTCGATGACAATGTCGGCGTTTTTCCAAGATGCGATATTATCCATTCGTCTACTAAACAAGATTCATGAAAGAGATTATTTCGAATTGTTTATTTTGTCTCATTGTTATTCGGCTCTTATAAGGAAATTATTGTAGTCTGCATAAAAGTGTGATGTCTTCAAGGACAGAAGAATTGTACGCATATTCGTCGATAAATCCCGCTAGTCTTCCGAAAAATCATTTTGTGGAATTTTCTCTGTACAATTGGATTTAAGATTGGAGTTCGTTCTACCGTACTTTTCAATCCGATTTATGACAATTGCGTAACAATGCGTTTGTCTTGGCAAAACTATTCCCGTTTCACGGTACTTTATAATAATATACCATATTGCATATTTCCATAAATCTTCTTAAATTTTCATAAATCCTTCGATTTTGTGCAGCAATTATAATTATTTATTGAGAAATAATTATTTGTAACAGTTGAATTACAAATCTTACTAAGAAACTAAATTTAATTTTACGTATACACTTTATTTATATTGCGAGAATATATCTACAATATTATTATTATAATAGATAAAAAAAAACTTCGAAAATAATATATATTATGTCTGTAAGAATTTCTATAAGAGATACCGATAGTGATACAGTGAACTACTCTATGTAGAGTCCATCGATAGAAGCCTGATCGCGCCATTACACGTTCAAGATATAAGTCGCATCTAACACTCTTTACTTAACCGGAATTTCTTTCGAAAGGAAGAATGTTTGTTCAAAACATTTGCCCCGAGATACGAAAGAATCGCGGATCAAAGGTTTTCCACGTCCGGAAAGAGGTCGCCCCTCCAAGACGCTCGCCTTTTTTCTCCGCATTATCGGCGAACGGTGCACAGCAGTAAAGTGAAATCTGGCTAGCGTGTTCTTGCTGCGAGCAATCTTGTAGAAGTTCCTCCGAAGCTCACTCGAAAATCGATTTCTCAAAGAGATACGATATGTACGTGTGCGGAATCGATTATTGATCATCGAACCATCACTTCGAAAGCGATTGCTCTCTCGATATTCCGGTCAGCGTTGGAAAGGGTCGCGGTTTAAGACTAGCCACGATTGCCCGATAAATTATTTATCTCTGCTTAATTCGAACGTCGTAGCATCTCAGTCAAACCAAACTTTTAATTCGTGAATAATTGCAAATTCTTTCTAGCCTATTTGCAATTTAATTTAATGCAAAGTTTTTTAATGCGATTACTCAAGCTGCTAAATTAATCGAAAAGTCATACTTTGACTTTATATTTAGATAGAGTTTTATTTCAAAATCGTTGATTTTTTTTTTAACCTAAGCTCTATCAGCTTTCTCAGAATGGTGCGACTTACCTTCCAAAACTCGAACACAGTCAGTTTGGTTCGGATACAGTTCAGGATAATTCGGACTATAAAACTCCTGCTTCGTTGGATCTCCGAGTTGAAACTTCTCACATTTGTCTGCGACGTGTCTCATGTGACGTCGTGGCATCGCGACGCCTTTCGTATCCATTGCCATTCGCGTCGTATTTTCCAAGTTGTCACGCGAAAGCGTCTCATCCAATAGTCGTATCTCGGGCGTTGGCACTATCTGCACACATTGTAAAGTCACATTTAAATTTATACGTGAGAATCGTCATGCAAAAAAGGCATCTTTATGCAAAAAGTTTTACGGTCTGCTTGTCTCATTCATAATAATGGTGTTCCAATATGTCAAAAACTTGTAACATACAGATGGTTTTTGTAAATAATTTTGATACCCAAAGAAACTGGGCGGTTCCTATCGTTACGTTATCGTAACTAAAACTATACGTCGCGTTAATTTGAATTGTACAAGATGGAAAATTTATACGCTCAATGGTCTATAAGCCTTTAATTCCAGGATATCAAGCCGTTAATTAAATGGAAGTCCGATTCTGTGCTTCAGGCAACTGGTATTGCGACAGCTCTAAATTATAGTTATCGCTCGTATTACGATATTGGGAAACGGCATTGAATAATTACGACTATAACGTTGATGAGTAGTATCGGACATAGAAATCTATTGCTATTATTCGATTATATGCCTATGATTTATGTCATTAGCTAGAAAAGACCTATTGTAAGAACTTTCAAAAGAACTGGAAATTTCTCCTAATATTTCTTATTCAATTAGTCTAGTCGATCAATTTGAATAATCGATGATCGCAATTATTGACTCCGCTCACAATTCTATTATAAAAATCAATTTGCGAACTAAGTAATGGACACGAAGGGAGGAACCAATTTATCAATCTTGAGATCCGCTATTACTCGAGAATTACTCGAGATATTTGCAATCGTAATCACGACGAAATTTCCAAATGATTGCTACTAGCTATAAGATTCGGTACGAATTACGTCATGGGAGCTTCGAGGAAATGATGAAGTCTTCGCGAGGTGATAGCCAATCGTCGATGACTGCGGGGATGACGATTCGATGGAAGTCCGATTGGACGGATCCGTCTGGCTCGTTTCATCGCTCCTGGAAGAGATGGACGGGTTATGGCGTGTGATCCTCGTGTCGTTGCCCCCCAGCGACCGCACTCTCCTTTCGTCCTCATCCTCCTCGGACCTCTCGACCACCGTTCGGAGGAAACTCAGGTCCGATCGAGTTCCGGGGCTCGATCTGTCTACGCTCCAAGGAGTAGTTTCCGGAAGCTTGCCGTTCGAGAGTCTGGTTTCTCTCGCGGCGTGCTCAAGACTCGAGGACGGCCAGGATCGCGACGGCGAGGATCGACTCGTTTTCCGAGCGCTGTACGTGCTCCACCGTGGATCCTCGGTCTCTCCCGTGGACGCTCCAGTAACTAGAACAATAATGATAATGATCGAATAGTCGAACAACGATAGCTCGGTTTCTATTAAAATGTGAAATATGAAATATGTTTCAATATTTTTTCCAATAACGGAATTAATTAAACTAGAAATGTTTTTTTTTTTCGCTAATAGACTTATTTAAATTTTGATTGCACACAGAAAGAGTAATAGCAAACTACAACTGAAGGACATATTTTATCGTCGTAAGAAGAAATGATTAGAGAAAACTAGAAAAGATATAAAAAAAGATCTTGCGAGGATTATGTGAAATATCAGATAACGATAGAAGTCGTTTGTAAAAGCTGTGATATTGGAAATAATATACGTAAAAAATTGGTTTAATGAATAAATTCGAGTAAATAAAAGAAAAACAGCAAAGATTAGAAAGCGAAATCCACACAAGATAGACGGAATCCAGCAGCTTTTTAGTGCAAAAAGTTTTGAGATCGTCTGGAGAAGAAGAAAAATACGTAACGAAGAGAAGTAAACTGTCAGATAGTAATTATGACGAGTAGAATTACAGGAAACGTAACAAGTCATCGAAGAAGCATTTCTCTGTTATTTAAAAGAAAGATATTGTTCAGGTGTTAGTTCCAATAAAATATTTCATATACCTTTACTCTTTGTATTAAGTACAGCAAATAGAAAAAGCGAGAAAAATATTGATCAATCATTGGAACTTAATCTTAAAAATTTTTCTCTGACATCGTAGACTTTCTTTTTATACACCATAATTTTTTATCGAGCGTGACGCAATCTGTGTCGATTAATCGCAGCGTTCAATTATAGTCGAAAAAAAGATCCTTTATCTTTTCTCCAAGAGCAATTGATTCTCATTTTAACGCGATCGAATGGTATAACGATATATGAGTAGCGCGCCGGGAGGGCGCTAGATTGGATGCTCGTATTCCATCTGTAAAAATGAACGCGATACGAACAATTCTCGTGTGCGCCTTTTTAACTTCCCGTCATTCTCTTTTTTAGCTTTCAACATTCAGTAACTAACAAGATTTAACGCCTACTGTCGCTTGCACTGCGAATACAGGCAACTTGATTCGCACAAAATGATCGCCTTGATTTAACGAGCACGCCTGTTAGGGCCTTTGTGTTTCCGCTTCTCTCGCAGGATGTTTGCGCCTATATTAAATTATTGTCACTCGTTGTTACATGTAGAATGTCGTAATAGTGTCTATATAAATTTTACTTTTTTTTAAACATTTGAGCAATCATTTTATAAGATGATTAATTAGACATGAATTTTAATAGAAACGCGAAATAAAATTCAAATAGAGATGTTGAACGTTAAATACGGTGAGGGCGCAAGTTAAAACACTACGTTCACTCTTCGTTGAACGCATATTGCATCTCGGATATAGGGAGGCAACAAGCAGGAAAGCAACTTGACGGGATGTGCACGGCACCGTACATATTTTCTGCGGCCTTCAGACAGGAGCATCTCAATATAAAGCGTTCTTTTGTGAGGTCGATACGACGTAACTTCTCTCCTCGGGCTAAAGCGTGATAACCTTACGCAACTGCACTACCCATTACGTTCTAGGCGGCTAAGTCCTGCCATATTTCACTAGGAAAGGCTCTGTCTGGCAGCACAAGAGGCTTTCTCACAAATTTTTAAGTCGACATTTTACAAGAGGTTTTCCCTTCATCGCGCGATTTTAGAGTGTGACAAGCTAAGTTTCAGCTCGGAGTGCTTTTATCCTGCACTTCGGTCGAGGATTCTCTTAAAAGATCTCCAAGATAAAACCTCTCAATATCGAATAGCAAGTTCGGAATAGTTTACACGAAATTCAATTATTATATTTCTATAGTTATACTTGCGATAGAATTTTCAGTTTATCAATATTGTTGCTAGTCATTTTATTTGGAATAATTAATTAAAGAAAGATAAATATTTTTCTTCAGAGAAATGTGGAATTAATTATTTTCAATTAGTTGTTTCAATCGCTTTCGCCATTTTGCTCTTCTCGAATACACACGATATCTCTTCGAGTAGAGTTTCTACACCGATTACTTCCTTACGATTGCCTGCGGCTCATAAACATTGGACTTTATGCATTGCAACGTTACCGATTTCTAGACCCGGCTAGATAAAGGCTGCGCGCTTCTTATCGAGAGTAACCGCTCTGCGCGGTAAGGTCAAAATTCATTCGCTCCATTTACTGCTCATTTCCTGAAGAGGAAATCGGTATGTAACCGTCTTCTCCACTTGCCGTTGCTCGAAGTGGAGTTTGCCGTAAAATGCGGGACAGTGGATAGCTGCGTGTTTTTCGAGATTAGATAAGATAAAACAAATGTTAAAAGGTAAAAAGTTTGGACTTTTTTTCTTTATATCAAAACAGAAAATTTCTTTTAAATACTTTAGTGATTTCGATATAAATCGCGACGTCTGTTATCTTTGTTCGTTGAGCGATAGTTTTAATTAGAATCGGAAATTGAATTAATCGAATCGGAATTAATATTATGATAAAATGTGAAACCTTTATTATTATTAAACGAACACATTGTGAGACAATTTCAAAAGAAATTCTGAAAGAAAGCATTCACTGTCTTTGCAATCTATTTGAAAATATACTTGCTCAATGAATTTCTCATTGGATGGACGAGAATCTGTAATACGGTTTCTATTTATAAGCGTTTTCATCTTTGTCGTAAAATTTCGACAAACTGGTCGCCAGGGTTACACAGCTAAATTTCAAGAACTTCCTGCGACGCTGTGTTTTAGAGGCGTCGGGTTTCTAAGAGCAGAAACGACGGCGGAAATCTACATCCACCTGCAGTAAATCAGATCCTCGCCTGCTAGACGTCTCGTTCTCTCTCCCGTTTGTCTGTTCTTCCGTTTCTCGGCAAACAATTTTGTAGCTTCTTGTTTCACTCTTCTTGCCGCACCTTTCTCGCGTTGGTTCCTCTTCGTCTCGTGCACTGGTAGTCTTGTAGCATGCCCGTGATAATCTCTTTTTCACTCGAGACATTCATCGCGCTGTTTACGCCATCACTTTTTCTTCAAAGAGCCCATCTTTCCTATCTCATCTCAAAAATGGCCGCATTGTTCGCAGCTTGCGCGAAACGAGCAATGCTTTTGCGCTTGCAACCATAACTAATAACATAACATTACTGGTACGTAATGTAAGCTGAATGATAAATAAAAGGAGTAAAATCAGAAAGAAATACTGATTTTTACTAATAGGTATTTATTAACATAACTTGTTCTATGCAGTAACTTACTTTGGAGTTATTATCTGAAGAAAAACTGTTTCTGTAAAACATTTAAAGATTAAAATAATTACTGGGTTAAGAAATATCATTTTTTAACGTATAGATATTAATTTCAAAATTTTATTGTTGTGAATTTTCCAAAGTGAAATAACTCAGACGAGAAGTGTTTGAAATTAAAAAGAAAGTTCTTTTGTATGAAATTATTTCATAAAGTGCTCAAGCGATCCTTTCGAAATAGATCGCTGAATTAGCTTCGTTTCATACGGAGTACAAATTCATTCATGGATTTAAAAAAGTTTCTGTAGCCTGACCCGTAAGTATCCGATATACAAAGAAAATTGAATAAACGTAGCGAAGCGATAATATAAAATGAAAGCAACTGTTAAATAGTTACAAACGTTAAATAGTTACAGTTACATAAAAAACTGCGCAATTCAAAATTAATCAAGTAATGAGCAAAGCTAGCAGCCATTTTTTATATTTCAGTATTTGTTCTAAAAACAGTTTATAAATTTATCACTGTACCGGATCGCATAACAACACGACAAATATTGTTGACGTATTGTTTCCAATACCTGAAAAAAGATTTGAAAATTGTAGAATTAAATGTACCTGCATTATTCTGCATTGCAGTCACGCGTATAAGACTATGATTGTTTGCCGTTTCGAATCCTATGGGTACTGCATTGGTTGGAATTTATTTTTCGTATTACAGTTGCTGAGAAAGGTAGATAGATGGATACGTGGTACACGAGAAAACACGTCGAGTGACGCATCGGAAAATCCCGCACGTTTCTGAACAATTTCTAGATTATTCCCTTTGGTTCACATGTAATCCTATAAGCGAGCCTATAATCCCATATGCAAATCTCGTTAAGTGATAATATCTATGTTTAACTATCCTTGATACAAAATTTAATCGTAAAGTGTCTATTATCGAAAATTTCCATAAATTCCGTATTTAATTACAAATTCCACCTGCATGATTCTCATGCGAACAATAATTACGACATGCGGGAAGGACGCACGTTGTATAAAATTGCCGGTGATTCAACGCGAACTAGGCCTCTCTACAGATTTCCAACGAATCGCGATGTTAAGCACGCTTGATATAGTATTTTGAGAAACGGAACGTGCGCAACGATCCCGGTGAAATATGACGACTATAAAGCATCTCGCGGTTTTATCGCCTTGCATAACTATAAGTATGTAAGCGAGTATTTTCCGTCTAAAGGTATAAAGCCGAAATATCGTTGCACACATAGCCTTGCCTTCGCACGAATACATAATATCTACGTTTGTCTGTGTCCCTCCGAGAATCTACGAATGTAGTATATACGCATAGCAATTATGTTGCTGAATACCATCACCCGCATAACTCTTGCAATTCTATACTCTAGGATGGGTCCCTGGAAATGAAGAATTCCATTTTCTTTCTTCCCAATCACGGATCTCTCTCTCTGAATGCCGTTTATGCAAAAACGAGAGAAATGGCGCGAAGACTACGCTTCCGCCACCGAATTGAAAACGCGATGATATGTACATTTTCATGTTTATAGTCAAAAGACAGAATTTTCCATTTTAAAAGAAACTGTAGTACATTTCGCTTCATGGTAGAACCAATACGTGAATCGGAAATCACAGAAAGGCGCTTCTTTGTGATAAAAAAAAGAAAAAAAGCAAGTGAAAAATTTTCAGAATAAAATTTTCAGATGAAGAATAATTCGGTTTTTTTTCTCTTCTTAGTACGCTAGGAGTG